CTTGTGAATTGAGTTTTTATAGCGTGGAGAAAGAAAAAGAAATCTGTCTATTTGAGACATAGATACAGTATGCGTTATTCGCATGTAATCGGAACCTGCGTATCGCGATCTTGTTAAACGGCCTGCCCTCTCATCATCATTTCCATCTGTCCTTGCGGACCACTCTACATTTTCCATCCTCGGTGCTAGGACGCTCCTTGCTTTCCACCCCGTTTCCGGCCTCTCGCCACAGTTATTTCCCGCCCTGCGCCGCCCTCCCTTCTTTTCGGGCGGTGAATGGAGCCGCACGGGCGTCCCAAGAGTCAGGTGTGGTGTGGGCTCGCGAAACGAGGCATGGAGATCAGCGGGAAGGGCGGGGCGGGGCGGGGCGGTGAGTCGGGCTGAGAAGCGTGGAGGGGTGGCGAGGCAGTGCGGGGCGGGGAAGCGAAGCGGAGGGCAGGGTGTGGCGGAGTAGCGAGTCTGGCGGCATGGCGAGATGGGCGGGGCAGCCGGGGAGGGCCAGCGGCGGCATGGGTGAGGATGCGATGCGTGACAGCGCATAGGAACGGGCTTGGTGGAGCGGTGTGGACGGGGAAGCGAATTGAGGCGGTGGGACGAGGCGAGCGAGAAGCGAGGTATGGTGGCGCGGCGGGGAGAGGTGGGCGGGGCGGGTAATCTAGGTAAGCGGGGGCGCGGTGGGAGGGGGCGGAGTGGGAGGGCCTGTCGGAGTGGCGCGGGACGGGTGGAGGGGGCTGTGTGGGCGGCGCGGACGCCAAGGCGGGGTGGGGAGCGCAGGGGGGTGGGCAAGGGGTGGCGGGAGAGATGGGGCTGCACCGAGCGTGGCAGGGCGTCTTTCGAGACGCGCGCGGAAGCGGCAAACCGAGCGCTTCGGAAGACTGCGCAGGTGGCCGCCCTGCGATTCGGATAATTAGCGCCGCGAGGAAGCGAGGGGGGCCGGGGAGGGGGGCAGCGACTATTCTAGGACGCACCGTCTAAAGCGGCCTTCTCCCGACAAGGTGCCTATGGCCCCTTTGAAGGGCCATCGAACGGAGGTGACACAGCTGGGTCATTCCGTGTCAAGTGGTCTAAATTTGGAACAGTGCTCCGCGCAAACTTATTAGATTTTAATGGAATTTCGTAAATATGTTGACATATTATGAACTAAGTTTCACTTTTATTCCTTAAATATTTAGTAAGATATTCAATATTCAATAGGGAATCTTTTTTGGACAATTTTTTTCCACTAATTTGCTGCATTGTACTTTCTGTGTGTTAATAATAGCATAATTGAAATTACTTTCAATGAATAGAGGGATAAAGTTGCAAATATAAGCACCGTTTCATTTGTATAGCAATAACTGAAAAGGAAACATTGGATTTCAAATTTGTGAAAATCTTGTACTGCATTAAGAAGCGGCCACAGATCGATCAAAGTGTACCTCGAAATGTGTTTCACTTTTGAAGCTACTTCACAAAAGTTCCTTCGAGTCAAGTGTGACTTGACGTCCAGAACTTCACGAAAATGTGAAATGGTCATGTTGGGAGCCGTGAACTACAAGGAATGACCCAGTTAGGAAACTTCAGGAACGAATTTAGCTTATTAACAGTTACTGGAAATGCAAACAATAGCAATAATATCAATAACTCTTAAATATAAAAGTGAATCTTTGTGTGTTGGTCAAAAGCATTCGAATAACGGGTGAGTTTGCTCTCAATATTTATAAGAACACTTCTGAGCGTTCGAGATTAAATCACAGGGGATGAGATTCAAAATGTTACCCCAACAATGTGTTGTTTATTTTTATTTACAAAATGTAGCTTACTGCAAGCCGCAACGCATCTAGGAGGCATTGCTGTGCGTGTGACGAGCCGTGGCTGGGCGGTCGGAAGGGAAGGGCAAGAGGAGAGCGGACGGAGCGGTTAAAATACATGACGAAGCCGGGATATCAGATAACATCAACATCATCTGCAATGATAACAACAACAGCAACAACAACGATCACAACAACAATAACAACGATCACAACAACAACAGCAACAACAATGATCACAACAACAACAGCAACAACAATCACAACAACAACAACAGTAACAACAATAATATTAATAACAGTTACAACGTGCAGTGGTTGGCGCTTTCCCCGTAGACCATTCGCTGCGCCTTCCCCGCCGCCGCGCGCTCCCAGGCCCAAGCCCTCAATTAGCTACGAGCCAACTCACCCGTATGTGCCCATCTTACAACTGAGCCATTAACTCTTCGCTCTTGCAAACTCTCGTCAAATTACAATCTCTCGTCACCTTGAAAGAACATAAAATATCTTGCTGATGTCGCCATTGATCTTAGATTAGCTTTATTTTTATATTAGCTATAAAAATAAATATGCTTAATTAAGAGTACATATGTATGTATACATGCATGTTTGTACTTGCCGCGACAGCTCGTGAACGAGCTCAGGCCTACCGACCACGTCCCTGCGTCGCGGCCATGGGTTAAGTGGGTACGTGTGGTTAGCACGTAGACATCTCACGCCGTATTCCGGTCTTCTCAAACTGAGAAGTGAATTTTCTCATCGTCAAACAGCAACATATTCTAGGACATTACAAGGAAAACGCATACTATAATCTTACCTGACGGGGATTGGAACCCGGGACCGCGCAGTGGAAAACGAGCACGCTCACCATTAGCTAGTTACCACCAGGCTAATTAAGAGTGTAGAACAATAAATTGTCAAGATACAAGTAACAAGAATGCCTTAAACCAATTCCTTCTTCGATCTATAAGTCATGTAGAAAATCCGTATGTTTGAAATGAGAACAATGGTGACCCATTAAATATCGCAAAATGATGAGAATTATTACGCCAACTATGGGCCGAGTGAACTCAGTCTAAGTCACAAAGGAGTTGACGAAATTCAATCTCCATGGGTTTTATTCAAAATATGAATGTATACATGAATAAAGAACAAAGCAAGTCTGTAGGGGAGATATGGAGAGAATAGTGTGACGTCATGGATACTCACAGCGACCAACAGACACAGAGTTTCGTATAACAATATATTTATTAACAAAGAAACAAAACAAATATATATCAATTAATAATCTACTTACACCCTAGCTCTGATAGACCTACTATCCCCTGATCGCGGGAGCGATCCAACCCGATTGAAGATTGTTTTGATTGTGGCATTCGCCACTCCTAATTTTGAAGCGCGCACAAAGCCTAGCTTCCGTGACCGGATGTACGCTGGGACACGAAAGTCCGTTCTGGCGCACCCCAGCTGGTTTGCCTCGATCGCGGAACGATTTATCCGATTGAGAATCGGCGTGAATCGTGGCACTCAACCACTCTTCACGGCGGAGCACGCACACAATCGCTCCCCCGTGACCGCAGTCACCAAAGACCTAAAGTCCGCAGCTTCGTCAACTAGTGATCGAGCCTCGCGACCGCTCGCATATGACCGTCGTGGCGCCAAGTTTTGTGCAACGCACGAGGTTCTCCACTGTCTCCAGAACCCACCCACTGGCTCTGTACACTCTGTTATATAGGCGAGGCCCACGTGACCTACTACGTCACGCCACCCCTCGCTTGTTATAACAGTGAAAAGTTTCTATAGGCGGATACTCCAAAGCCTTGTGTCTCGTTTCCGCGTTCTTCCCTTTCGGAAAATCCCTACTTCCTGTGGCTAGGCTATCTATACCATCTACCAAGCGTCCCCAAATAGATTCATGAGGCACGCTGGCTAATACGTTACAATAGTAAAGTTCGAAAGTTATCACAATGGCATTTTGAAGATATAGAGAGTGCATAGTATTTGTAGCGGATGTAATGGACGCTAGATGAGACAGTAATCCTTAATTTCGTTGAATTACAATGCAAGTTCAAAAGGTAATTAAGTCAATAAAGTCCATTTATTAAATTAATTCTAATATCATTTTCGGAAGATGTAGCGTTAATCAACGTCGGATGGGAAAGTTTTACTGAGAGATCGTGGGTGCGCTCCGGCGTGCACAAACTACTTCACTCATCCTTAACATCATCGTCTACCTGGACCGGATCATAGGCCAGCACCGTACTTAGGACGTTTTACTTTAGGGCTAATCACTACCAAGCAATACTTAGACCACGGAACGCGCTATGTGCTTCTCCATTCTCCCAATACTCTAAGAGGTCCGACTAATCGACTCATCTCATTCTCACCCATCCACTATTGATATGAGATACATCTCAAAACAGCGTTCCGACTGAGATGCTCAGGGCACCAGCTGATGTCACCGCAGTGCCTCTCCCTGAGAGACCTAGGGCGCGCATTTTCGAAGATCACAGGATTTTTGACACTGATTTTTTGTGTAGCTATGTAGGTCGAATAGTACGACCGGCTGATCTTATAGTTGGATTTTTCCCATCAACACCAGGCGAAGCCGGCAGGACCCTATCAATTTGGCCACATATCGTGTGCGATCTTCATTGTCATATCCTCACCCTACTTATACACACACTTACAACGCACTACACTACCACACATGCTAAAGACTACCGAGAGCTAGGTTCGTTCTGGTGGGGCGGTGCCCATCTGGAGGGAGATACTTGGATGGAAAACACCGCACGTCTTCAATTACGGCGCCACCGGATCTAACCATCTCGCAGGGGAAGAACATTGTCGTCTCTGTGATAAATATGCACTGGACTTCGGGGAGGCAATGACCGCAAAAGCAGTAGACGCATCGGAACACTAAATAACCAATTAATCAATCAACAAGAGTAGAGACCCGGTGAGAAACATGGAGATCCGCTCAAAACAAAAATAGGAATAATAAATTGTAACGTAACAGCACCGCATGTAAAGGAATAATTGTTCATTAACAGTTGCGTTTGAGGATACGTTGCGGAAAGTTGATTACATCATGCTCTCCACAGACTAAAATACTGTTTTGAAACAAAATTACCTTCGAGTACGAGAGAAATGCGTTTTAAAAGTGTTACGATTTGTAAATATTCAGCCATTTGCCGGGTGTGAAAGACGATGGCTGCCGTAGGCTCGGCCTTTCAGGATTCAAAGCCCGCCGCGTGCGCCGACAAAGGCCCCGTGATGGGCGACGCGCGACCGCAGGCGTGCTGCGGAGGGTAACGAACTGGTGCGGGTGGCGGTGTCTGGCGTTTGCGCTGGCCGGGAGGGGGCGAGGGAGAGGAAGGGACCTTGGGAGGTCGTGGTGAAGCACGCGCTGGCGGGGGGGGGGGGCGTTCCGCTTTGCGCCCTGCAGCTCGAGGAGAGCGGATCCGCAGCCCGGGCCACGAGCCTCGACCAGCGGCTCCCGCAAGGCCGGGCCCCCGCTCCGGCGGGCAGGACGCGAGAAGGGTGGCTGACGGGTGGGAACGAGCAGGGTGGCGGACGACGAGAAGAGTGAGTGGGAGGGAGGCGGCGGGAAGGTGACGAGGAGATTAGAGGGGGCGAGGATGACGACAGGGAGGGCGATCGAGAGAACGCCAGTGGGCAGGCAGCCAGCTTGCCGGGCGGGAGAGTGGAGTGGAAGGGATGGGCGAGGAAGTTGGGGTAGGGTGGGCCAGGGTCGGGCGAGTGGGTGGGGCGGAGTGGGTGGGGCGGGTCGAGTCGCGCTCCCGGCAGTACGGGCGAGGGCGTTCCAGACAGACGGCGGATTCAGGGCGGGGACCCCGACAGACGATCTCCGCAAATGAGCGGAAAGCCAGCGCACAGACGGACGGGACTTCTCATTTAATTAGGGATGCGGCGGTCTCGATTCCTGAAATTCCAGATCCCAGTTTCGAGAAATGGTATTCTAGGTGTTGCTTCGTCATTCAAATAGCAATTCAATACTATTAAATCTGCCCCTTTTGCCTCGACAAGTCTTTATTTTACAGATTTTACATTTTTCAGTGCAGATACTAACTTGTATAATGCAATAGTCACAAAATTTACATGTGAAGAGAAATTCCGACAAACATTAGTATTTAGTCAATTTTCTTTTTACAGATGATTAAATTCCTTAATAGCAATGTTATTATCTAGTACAAAAACTAATACAGGCCTGATCTCCGCTGCAACCCTTTTAACATGCTAAAACAAATTAACCTGAATTAGATTTGTTTTAAAATGGTGTTTATACCAATCCTACGTAAACCAAACCGCAACACAAGATGGGCTCAACTTTCTGTTCCTTGACGAGAGTTCTCGCGCGTCTGAGTATTTCAGAATTAAGAAAAGTTCATTTCAACTAAAATTCTTCTTTTCATTTCAAATCAATAAATGCCAAACCGTTCATTAGTTTTATGCAAATGAATATTTTCTTATTTTTTTGTATTTACGTTTAGGAAAGGTGTCTTAATTTTTTAGACATAAGTTTTTAAAATGTTTTATAGCCTACCATGCAAACTTTTTCTTCCAACCAGGTTGTGGGAGTTACTGCATCCCCATTTTCAAGTCTATTGATATGCAAAAAGTTTATCTTAATTACCAAACATATAATATTAAATTAAATTGAGTTCTCAATTATTGCAATACTGGTATGAAGACTTACTGTTTCTTTAGTTCAAAAATTTCGAGACGTAACACAGTGGATTCCTGTCTTTGGTATTCCATTCGTCGATCTCTTTGATTAAGGGAAATATTTTATTTTAAAATGTACCTAAAAGATTTTTAAATATTCTTCTTAATTTTTGAAAAAGGGAGAGCTGATTTTAGAAAAGATTCCCTTTTTTTTCAATATCAGAATGCAGAGCTCACATGCTTGTATAAAGTTTGTGTCGAAATAAAATCGAAAGTGAAAACGTTTTCGAGCTTTGGCAGGACCACTGGAAGGGGAAGTCACGATGTTACAATAACTATGATATAACTAAAAAATTACGAGAGAAAACCTATTGTATTAATTATTACATATTGTATTATTACAGCCGGCAAGGCAATGCATATCGGTTCTGCATTTGTAAGAACTTTGTAGACGATGTTACAAAAAGTATCCATCCAACGTAAGACCGCAGTTGAAACTCGATCTGAAGCCCTGCATCTTTGACAGCTAGACTCGGGCGCCGTTGCGCTGTCAGTCAAGGTAATACCGTCGAAGTGTTATTTTTCGTTGTTTTTTCTCAATACAAATACTTTTCTTTTAGTATACCTAAATACAGCTTCCCAACAATTTGTCCGTCCGTGATAGCTCAGCGGTAACATCATTGGCTCTGCAGTATCCTAACAGAAAGTGTAACAGTGTTGTAGTTCTGACGGTGGTGGATATGCAACCCTAGTTTCGGGCTCACCCAAAGTGGTGTTATTGGTGTGCCCGTATTTTTCATGGAGGGGCTCGTACCCCTTGTTTTGTGTGGCACTATTACGGCACTATTTACGTTAATGTTCTAAACACTTTCGTGCTTCCCACTGTTGAAGAGCAAAACGGGGACGGTGACTGCATCTTTCATCACGATCGAGCACCTGTTCATACTGCACGGCCTGTGGCGGAATGGTTACACCACAATAACATCCCTGTAATGGGGTGGCGTGTACATAGTCTTTACTTGAATCCTATCGAACACCTTTGGGATGTTTTAGAACGCCGACTGCGTGCCAGGCCTCATCGACCTACATTGATACCTCTCCTCAGTGCAGCACTCGGTGAAGAATGGGTTGCCACTCCCCAAGAAACGTTTCAGCACCTGATTGAAAGTATGCCTGCACGAGTGGAAGCTGTCATCAAGGCTAAGGGTGTGCCAACACCCTATTGAATTCCGGCATTACCCATGGAGGGCGCCACGAACTGGTAAGTGATTTTGGGCCACGTGTCCGAATACTTTTGATCACATAGTGTATCTACGTTGAATTCAGTCACGAAAATTCTTTGGTGGGTTGCTTGGATCTTTACTTTTCCACGTTTTCGATTATAAAGAGAATGACCTAACAAAAAAGCCACGGCCCACGCAGATCCTTTCCTTCATCATTGTTTTCCACTCTCTTCTTGCTCACACATTCAACACACTACCACACATGTCTAAAGACCAGTTGGGAGCTTAGATATTCAATTCCCTTAAGCGATATTCTCCTCTGTATTGTATTCCAAGTTCTATCCCAAGCGGTCTCCCTTCCAATAGGAATCATGATAATATAACAGGGCCAAATGAAAGAAGTATTACATTTTTATATTTGCTACTCTTGTTGTAAACGATTATTTGGTTCAAATCATGACGAACGACAAGTTCAAAACAAATAACTTTTTTATGAATATTGAAATGAACAGTTAGATTTCACTACTCAAGTACAATTTTCATTTTCATTTTTTGATGGCATTCTGGGTGGGAAATTGTTATAACATGACGCTGGTATATTTAATTTAATAATACCATTGGCCAATTTTTCCTTTGGATATAATAAAATGTCGCTTTATCGACATTTTTAAACATTGCAAACAAAACCTGTCTCGACTACGAATATTGGCCCATTTAAGTTAAAGCTGAATTTTCAGATTTCCAGCGTGTTAATAGAAAGGCCCCGCTTAAAAAACATCGTAAATCTGAAACCCATAAAGAATAGGCTCATCTGGAGGAAAGTAAATGTTTGGAGGGATTCTCGAGAGATTGCATTCACCGCCAGGCGGCGCCAGTTGCCGAAAGATCGTCAGCGCGACCTCTCTCGAAACCGAACATCCCAAAGCCCAACTCCGAAAACAAACAGCGATAGAGCGTTAACCTACAAACAGAGTGCTTGCTTCTAAGGATATTTGCATCCTCGAAAAGGAGTAGCTCATGAAAAGTTTATTATTGACAAATGCATTAGAATCAATCAGAGCATCAATCAGAGACGACTTGATGAAATAATACCACATCACAGAGTCATTTCCGAACAACTCTATTCCGTTCCCTCCATTGCATCGCATGGGATAAAAGAATTGAACTTGAATTAAGTGATAAAACTCACGCCACTTTCTCTACTTAATTTTACATCTTTCAAGGATTACATTGCGCATTTAATATTGTAGAGAAATAATTGACAAATGAGAATATACTGACAATTCCAGGGAGAATTAGTTCTGTAATTGTTTGAAAGAAATTCCTAGAGAGCATTGCAACACTGAATTTTGGAGAAAAGTCTCTGCAGAAGAGAGGATTGCAGCTTTCGGTTGATTGATTGATTCGTTCGTATTTTCGGGCGCGTGTAGTGCATCTTTTCCTCCGAGATTCCTTCCGATTTGCCCCCGCTGGAGGGTGAGATCCGGCGTCAAACAACGCGTGGGCTAGCGGTTTTCCCTCAATCAGGTATCCCCACCAGCGGGGTACGCTCTAAGCTCCCGACTGGCCTCGCGGTATGTGTGGTAGTGTAGGGCATATAAGTGTGTAAGTACGTAAGGGGTGAAGATAGGACAATGAAGGGAAATAATGATCGCGCGCAGTCCGAGTCCCGTGTTAGGGTGCTGCCCCGGCTTTCGCCTGGTGTTGATCGAAAACTACAGAACAGAGCAGCCGGCCGCAAGAATTCTCCTTCGTACAGCAGCTGAATTCGGCCTAGTTGTCTAGCTAGGGTCGAAAATCCTGCCACCGTCGGGACGTGAAATCTAGGTCCTCGCGGTAATAGGCACGGCAGTGTTATCAGTTGATGCTTTGATCTACCGAAGCCGATGAAGCTTTCGGAGTGGGAGAAAAAGAACGATTTCAGCCCGGAAATTTACATATTGAAACGATATCTCAAATCTTTATAACGCAAATTGTGTGTCAGAAATTGTACTTCGTGAGAAATTCTTCTTATAATACATTATTTGCAACCGAGATGAGTAAGAAATAAAACAAAGACCCTTGTTTAAAATCTAGACCAAGACGTGATTACTGCCTTTCAGAAAGTTAACTTAATACCAAAGTTTGTTCCAGTATGTATAAGAGCTTATGTGTTCCAAGAAACATTTAAATTAATGCACTTGAATTTCTAAGGGTGAAAAGTGGAACGATCGTTCGGGAGACTGAAGATAGGAGGAAAGTATTGCTGCTGAATGACCCAAAATTAACCTTGGAGTCCGGCTCGTGCCATGATGTTGCTAAATCCTGGATCCCAGTGACGAAGCCAGGAAGAGTCCATTGTTCCACCGTGCAAAGGCGAGCTGTGCACTTGCTTCATTCCAAAATATCTCGCATTTTCAGACTTAGACATTACTGCTACCGCTCTTTCTTCTTCGGAAAAATATGTGAGTAGCTCATTTTGATATTCAATATCTTTTAAAGAATAACAAAAAATAATAACTCATCTATTGTATAATCTCTTTTACTTTGTAGATGTTATTATATTTTACTCTATTTCTTCAACGGAATGAAGTAACAGAGATAACGTATTATTAGTTAACTGTCTGTGGCATTTTGTATTTTCTTTTGAAAATAAAGACTAAATTTTATCCTAAATTTCAAAATACGGACCTTATTATTATCTGCCTCAGTTCTGTTACTGTGACAACCAGAATGTAGTAGGAGAACGTAATAGCTAAATGTAAGGATTTATGTTCCCTAGAATAGCAATAATTCGATTTCACACTGATGTATGTTAGCTGAAATTCAGGTGAGCCAGCCGCTTAAAATAATCTAGGCACTTTAGTATTGATAGTTTATGGCTCTTTAGAGGATTCATGTGATGTTAAATTACAAGAGATAAACATTCTGCGGTGTCCAACTCACGATAATATAGAACATTCCCATTGATACATACCTATTCAGTAATGAATAAGAGAATTATCAAGTAAACGCGTGACAAAATAGGCCTTTCTATATTACATTTTGTAATTACCATGCACTCTACAACTTAGTTAGTAAATATAATTTTACGTCCAGCAGTGTTTAAAAAATAAATAAAGAATGATCACCATGTGTAGGTCTTCAGATAACTTGGAGTCGTATTTGCTGCCTTTCGGATAACAAAGGCAACGTGCCGTGGCAGAAATTTGCACTTCACACCGTGACGTGACACTGAAGTGTAGTGCTCTGAAAAGGGAGAAAAGAGACGGTGTAGATCAGGCTTTAGGAACCCAACTGCTGATTATGACGCTCAAACAAGATTTCGGAGAATAGCGTTACCACTGTCGTAAACCCTCTAGTGCAATATGCGTGACGAGGGACATGGAAGTTTTACGAAAATGAGTATGTATATTAGAGGACCATCATTGGTCTCTCCTGCTTAAGCGATTTCCGATTTTTATTTTAACGACTGTTATGGCACCTGGTTGCCGCATCGAGATAATGAGTATTGAGAACTGTCCCACTAACCTTGTACCACAGCAGACATCTGGCAGAGTTCGTGCTGGCTCTGCCTCAGAAAACGAAAGGAGCCAAAGGCGTTCGCAACCAAAAAGAAAAACGGTTACTTCAAACTTCTTTTCAGACCAGCGTGAAATAATCATCGCTTTATGAATTATTCTCGTTACACTTGATGATCACTTACAATGATATTCGCAAGTCTATTAATGTCCAACTCATGCAACAATCACAGAAATGCAAGAAAAAAAATCACGAAAGAGAAAATGGAAATACTCGTTGAACTATTCAAAATTAAAGTTACAAATACCAAAGAAAAATAGTTTTCATTGAGTAAAATAACATTTTGTTTCGAAGTTCCTTCACATCTATCTCGCCATGAAAGGAAACACAGTATTGCAAATCAACACCACAAACGCTTTTGAATTATATCATTAAAATTTCTCTAAACTATAGAAGGTATCGTTTTAACGATACATTATTTAGCGTATCTGCCAGATATATATCTGTGTGTATGTATGTGCATATGTATGTGCGTATGTATGTGTGTGTATGTGTGTGTATATATCAACTCCTACAATTCCACCGACATGGATCTCCAAAAAAGAAAGAAGGATCTCCTGAAAGTCGGCACATCTATTGTTTTTGGTTTTTTTTTTTCACGGAGAAGGATTTTATGCTGTTCATTTCGATGTATCACCACTAGATGGTACTACAGCACAATGTGGTACTTCAGTTAAACGGAATTCCTAGTTCACATTTAAACCCACAAAATTTGTTGCTTGTCGTTTCCGTGTGACGGGAGGAGTAAGGAGAGAGGGAAAATAGAAAGGGAGAAAAGAGGCAATGGGAAAAGAGAGCGAGACAAAAACAAGAGAGGGAAAAGAAGAGAAGGAAAGAGAGATGGAGAACAAAAGAGAGGGAGGGCAAAAGATAGAGGGGAAGAAGAGGGAGGGAAATTGAGAGGGGGAAAGAGTAAGAGAGAAAAAGAAAGGGAGGGAAACAGAGAGCTGGAAAAAGAAAGAGAGGGAAACAGAAATAGGGAAAAAGAAAGGGAGAGAGAAAGAGGACGAAGATAGATTGGGGAAATTGAGAGAGCCGGAAATTGTTGGTATTCAAAACGTCCACCCGTCCGTCCGGTTTCTACTACCAGGCGTAGAAGTTTTTCCAAATTAAGGAAGCCCGTGTCGATCTGGCTAGAGTCGAATCATTGAGATTTTGAAAAAATGACTTAAGTAAAGTAAGTCTTAAGTAAAATTTGAGAGCGCTTAACATGAAACCCTCCGCACATTTTCAAACTTTTCTCAAAAACTGTTTCAAATTTTTCTTTAAATTACTTGTAAGATTAGAGTAGCATACACTTATATACGTGGCGTAGGTCCGATTTTCACGGTTAACCCTGAATTTTTGGAAATTTCAGAAATATGAATTTTTTCGTTGTCTTCCTATATCTACAAAATTGAAGTTAAAGATGTTTCTTTCAAATAACATTTGTACTCCATAGTGAGTTCCTGCATTAAGGTTTATGTATATTTTGTGAAAATTTTAGTAGTTTTCGCGCAATATTGCGTGCAATATGTTCAATTTTAAAAAATTACAAAAACAAGATTTTCTTAAAAACGGCTCCAAATTGTTTTTAAAGTTTTAATAGAGATGTGCTAAATGTACTCTATAAGATGACATAAACACCATATTGCTTTATTTCTTTGTTTTTCAAAAAAAAATTTAGTTGTCTCTTATGTCGTTAATATTTTATTAATGGCAATTTGTTCACATTGTTGTGTATATGGGTGCACGTACATTAAATAATAAAGTATCTCGTAAACTGAACCGTTTTCTGTGAAAAGTAGCTCAAAATTCCGTATTTTCAGAAACCCACAAACACCTTTTTCTGAAAAACTGCTGCAAATTTGTTCTTTAAACATTTCGAACGGATAGTGGTAATTACACTCTTTAATATGATGTAAAGTTAATTTCGGTGTATTTTATGTTTTTTCAAAAAGTACACAAATGTAATTTTTTTTTAAAATATATCTCACAAAGTTTTTGTGAAAAAGCTGCAAATTTTGAATTTACAGTAACGCTTAATTGCCAGTTACTTTTTCAAATTACAATTTTACAATTAGGAAACCGTAAATTTAAGAAAATATCAAAGAAATGTACTTTGGGCGGCAATAGATGGTAGTACGCAAGAATATGTGGCAAGTTCGAATAGCTAACCGAGACCAAAGTAAATAGAAAACTAATACGGAAATGTCTGTGCCATTCTGAAGCACCGCTAGTAGTATTTGACACTGTATTCAATTCTTTTAATTAAGAAGCGCCACGCGACGCCTGCGAGTAGTCGTTTTGCGAGATCTGTCTCAAACCCCACCTTCACCTACACTCCCTTCACGCTTCTCCATGAACCCGTCCCCACTCCATTCTGGCCTCCGCCACCGCCGCCACACTGTCCCAGCCGTTTCTATTTGTAGGATGCACAGTGGGCGCAAGTCTCAAGCAGAGGTCAATGGAGCAGGTGTGGGCATAATGAACTACTGAACTGAAATTCGCGTTAGGCGCGTGTGGGTCTAGGCGGTCTTTGTTAAATTGAAGATGTCAGTTTACGAGATCTGCTGACATTCTGTATTGAGATATTTGGAATCAGATAGCGAGTTTGCTCTCTAGAAAAAAGGCGACAGGTCACGTAGCCTCTCACGCGTGCGTCCAGAGGGATTGCCAGGCCCCGCGTGCCTGATACTCAACCGTGCAGTTCGCAGAAAGACTTGGGGTCATTGCGTTGTGTAATCTCTCCGACGAGCGGTCGGAGAGTGCAGACGTGCCCTTGTCGCTCCGCTGTCTGCACTAGCCTCAGTGCTTCCCTTCTCCACCGAAGAGAGACCCGTTATAGCCCCTTCCAACGTCGCCACTGTCGCCCGCTTCCGATAACCGGCAGGAATCTTCCCACGCCGCCACCGCTGACCTGTACCTGAAGATGGGCTCTACAGGGGTAGGTTTCGCTGACCCTCCAGCGACAACGAACAAAGGGTTCGCAGCAGGTAAAACGCCATGACCAGCGTCACAGTAAGAAGACCACCATTTAAAGCAGTGTTCTGCTAGAGGTGGGGCGTACGCCCTCCTGCGTTGTTCATGACGAGGCTCCGCCACCGATTGCCGCAGTATAAGGGCGCCTTCCCACGCCGCCACGGCAGCCCGCGTACGTGAATTAGCAGGGCTCTTCGCCGACCCTCCGGCGACGTCGAACAAAGGGATCGCAGTGACCGGCGGCCGCAGTAGGAAGGCTCCCATTTAAAGCTGTATTCTGCTAGAGGTGGCGCGTGCCCCCTCCTCCGCTTCGCGTAGCGCGACTCTTGACAGAAGCGCGCTGCCGTCGCGATGTGAGAAAGCGATCTAAGGACCTCCATTTAAACCAATGCTCTTCTACGATCCGCAATCTTCGGAAGCGCGCTTCTGTGGAGCCGTGAGAAGGGTCCCTCAGATAGGGAGGCTTGCGAGGCCGCGAACCGAGCCAGGTCTGGCGTCTTTCACTCGTCGTGCCAAACCTTGCCGGCCAGTCTGCGCGAGGGAGCGAACGACAACAAAAACTATGGCGGAAACATCGCCGCCGCTGCGCCTCAGTCGCCGCTGCCGTCGACCAAAGGTAACCCTGTGAATGAAACGGGGGTAGTTGCTGTCTCCCGGCGACCTCCTCCACGCCCAAGAGGAAGGCAAGGCACCCCCGCATGCGGCACAGCGGATCTACCCCCAGCGTCCGGCAGGACTTTAAACTGGCTCCGTTTTAATAAGTTTTGGTGCAAATTAATATTCTGGTGGAACAATATCGTACAAACGATAAAGTATGGTTTCACATTTTTTACGGCGTGTGGTGACGGCAATGGTTATAGGGTTAGCGTGAGGCTCCCGCCACCACTTTGCAATTTTTGTATCTTAATGTTTCGATTGAAACGAATATCCGGTACAAACGATTTTTAATGTTTTCAGTTTTCTTACAATGGTGGTGGTGCCAATGTTAAGTTGGCACCACCATAATCGAAACTTCTGTACTTCTGTTTTTGGTAGAAATGAATGGTAATGGTTTCACTGGTTTTCAACAGGAGGGGCGGTGTCAACTA